ACACGTACACTCCAGTCAAAATTCAGGTCACAGGTGGAACGGGCATGCGCCAAAGCACTAGAGATCAACAAGCAACCGAACCACTTCAACCATATTGATGCAGCCAGCATTCCGTCTATCTGACTTGGACCTGCTGCACATCTCAGTAGGCTTAGATCGTATCAAAATACCAAACTTAGTTAACGTAGAGCTACCGCATTTAACGCCTAAAGCTAAACACAAAAGCTTTATTATTATTATTATTATTATTATTATTATTATTATTGATGAATACGGACAGAGGAGTTCCAAATAATCAATAAAAGTACACTGAAGTGTTGTTTTCGCCTCAAGATGGGCTGTTGGAGTGGAAACCAATAGGGAACCCGGCATAGCCACATCGTCCTACAATCTCTGTAGCGAGAATCTGGGCAGCGAAGAACAAGCACACTGACCACAGAATATCTGGAAATAAAAAAACAGGGGACAATGCTGACATGAAAAAGTTACAAGAAATCACACTCAAGAATATGGGAAATCACCGATAGGGTCGGGAGCTTAGAAAAATATGCGAAAAACAGACCGGAAGCAAATACAGTAAAAAAATTCCTCACTAAGGGATGCACTTCATTAGGGGACATTTTGAATTCCCTGGGAACTTTTTCTTAAAATACCCAAAGGATTAGCAAACTTCGTGCGTGGATATCTGCTTTCTACACATACGTTTCCATTTGGGATTTTCGAGGTTAGTTAATAGGGTAGCCGCAACACGACAAACGGATCAATACGCAATCATTTTCTGGACTAAGGAAAAACGAACAAGTTGATGAGCAACTGCTACTACTCTCGATCCAACTGTACAATCGAAGGACTGTGAGAAAAGGAAAAAGAACACATAGCTCTTGACGTTGTAAAGCTGGATAAAAGAGGGACTGATCAGTATGGGATATCGTAAGTCGGATAAGTGTGATTTGGTCGAAAGAAGAATCGAACCACGAGTCCTCGGAGAAGTAGCGCGTGGTAGGATACAGTAAAAAGGGTAGATGCGAAGACCCGAATTCGGAGACCCATGCCAGAGAAACCCTGAGGTTTCCATGCACACATTTGGAAGGAAACGACGGATTTGGAACGTAGCAGTATGGCCCGTTATATTGCAGTTCGGTTACGACATCGGCGAAACTGCTTTGTGGCAAACTGAAATTTGTCCAATACCGGGAAAATAAACAGAAATCCACTTGGCTAAATCTCTTATTCGATGAGGTGTACAATACGAATGAGTCGAACGACGTTAGTATGTTGAATGGTGGGGAAGCTCTTTGAAACACCGCCTCCATTATTTGGTAATAAGCGTTCGGTTGTAACACACTCTGGGCGCCTAGCTGCCATGCCATCCGAGGGAAGCACGAGGGCTGGGATACTGGCACGTTGCCCAAGCCTAGACAGGAGAAGTCCAGATGAAGAGGTTGGCTTCGAAACACGGACCCTCCGGTCAGTAAATTCGCGTTCTACGAACTGAGCCAGCTCGCCCCTTTCCCCACTATTTAATGACGCCATCCCGATTTTTTTAAAAGAAGTACGAATGAGACATGCATGACGCGGAATTCAATTCAAAGATGAGGTCTCCTGCGTATCGAGCATGCAGTAACATTTAAACCGCTTAGTTATTTGGAGAGTCAATAAACTTGGCTCTTACATTTTTGTGCTTTTCATTGCAGAGTTAGCTTACGATAAATGCTTTGATTGTCATTGAGCGTTTGGACATTCATCAACAAAAAAACCTGATACGTACAGGGCCTGCGCCTGTGGGCCCGCGTATAAGGTCCTTTGTTCAGATTCTTCTGCGTTTTACAGGCGTACAGTCATCATCCCGTCACATCTGCAGCGATGTGTCACCAACACCAGCCATATTTGACAGCTGTCATAGAATAAGGAGTATGGAATTAGTCAGAGGCACACTAGTTTCAACAAGTCGAAGGCGTCAAATGTACAAGCTTCCTCAGCATGTGATTCACGTACGTCAGATGGTGATTCATTCCACTGACGCTATTGTAAAGATTTACCCTACAAGTCTATTGCGTGCGCCAATACAATGGTTAACCGTTCCGCTGCTTATTGTCGTTCCCTTTAAGACGTGGCTCCTCGACAGCAGTAATTTTAAGTGAATTTCGGGACAATCTACCTGTTTTGGACGTTTTCGATGAAGCCCGAAGATTTGTTAGATCATTCTATCTTGAATGTGGACGCCTGCCGCCCGAATCAGTTTTTCTGGTTAACAGTGAACGCCAAAGCACATTAAGAGAGACAGTCGGTAGAACAGATCCGAATATGGTGGCGCATGAGAGCCTTTGATGGTGATATACACCGGGACGATTGTGCAGAAATCTGTTATAAACCGTCAGCCAGTCTAAATATGAATGAACAAAAATGGGTACCGGCAACAATTATCTGTTCATCACCATAGTACCAGTGTCATTCATTAGTTCCAGTGCAGTACTGCACCCTTCCTAGTATAGTGCCCTGCAAGTGTTGCGAGGGACCACCAGTTAACACCTCGTCAAGTTATTAATGGATGAACTGGTGTTTCACAAGCCCTATGGTTAAATGGAAAATTATTACATGAAGGGTCGATGAAATATCTGGTTTTTAGCCACGTTGCTTATACGCCGAACACCACTGCCTTGCGGTTAGGCTTTTGAGCCAAAGGCTTTGGTTGAGAATTCTAATCGTCCTTTTCTCTAGGTGTGGGCGCCATGCCATGACCTTAGTCTTGCTTACACACAAAGCATGAACGTACGTGGCGTCTGGACTAACCAAACACATTCAGTCTCAAAGGTCTAACATCTAAGTGCCCACTCGTCATCTAGTTATTCAATTCCAAAAACGACCACCTACGTGTCTTACTGACGTGGGAGGCGAGATGGACAAGGGGTGAGAGCGCAAATTTACTGACCGGAAGGTCCGTGGTTCGAACCCGACCTCTGCCTCTCGGCTTCCCCTGTCTAGGCTTGAGCGACCTGTCAGTATCCCGGTCCTCGTGCCTCCTTCGTGTGGCATGGCAGGTAGGCACCGAAAGGGTGCTACAGCTGAACGATTTTTTCCTTACTGAAGTGATAACGTACAACAGTGTCATAGCTGCATACCAACTCCGAAAATTGGGAAAAATGGTGTATAGGAGTGAACCATGGGAAGATAATGGTAAAGGTTACGGTGCATTACAAGCAAAAACATGCAAAGCACCTTGGCTCCACACAACGTGCGTGAACCACAGTGTGAGGAAGTGGTGTCTACAACAAGTACACAGGAGATCGAACGGCTAACAGCTGTTTATGTTTAGAGAAGGAAGTGTTTATTTGGTGAGAGCAAGATGTATTTGGTTCTACGCGTTTTGTCCCCAAAAGGACCTCATCAAATGGGCGAAGCAGTACTGATTATGCATGACTTTGGTCAGCAACCCTTCCCATTTGCCGTACCACCAGGCAGATGCTAGCCACGCTTCGGGAATCGAGTCACGTGGTAGAATCTGTCTTGGGCAATCAAGTGACCGTTACGAGAAAAATGATAGCCCAAGGCCGACCCGTACATCAAAAGCTCAAAATCGGCTCGCAGTGATTCGGATAGAGAGCAACAGGAAACAGTTTTCGGAAACATTCTTACTCAGCAGTGTAAGCGTCGATTGTTCGTTTGTTGGGAAGCAAAAAAAATATGCAACTCCAAAATCACTTACGCGGGGTGAAAGCGGCGAAATATAAAAACTGCGTCCCGACTTCGTATCCAAAGCGAAAGTATATGAAAGCAGTTAGGGAGAAGATCCAACTGAGCGATTTTAAGAGGAAGACACCATACTCCAAAACGGAGGAAGATAGTGTTTGACGCTGTAACAAATAAAGTATCGTGCAAATCACAACTGCGAAACAATAAACGTTAGAAAATCATCATCAAAGGCAACTATTCAGGAAGTGCACACGGCGCCGAACAGCCTATCACATCGAACTGCTACCTGACGACGAAGGACAGGTTAAACCACATATGCACCGAGTGTAACTAGTAGAAGACCCCCATAAGATGACAGAATGCGCCCAAAGGAGCCCAAAGTGACAACACATTTCTGAAATGCTCAGTTTGCCAGACTAGCCGAACTGTCAAAGGACACCAGGGGACGGATGTCGGACAAAATGTGTCGACTGGTGGACGGTAATTATCGTCACTAGACTGATAAAAACAAGTACAGCACATTCTGTATCATCAGAGCTGCAAACGACGGGGGGTCAACGACCATTGGTTCTAACACGAGGTCTCCATCTGGGGATATGGCAGTTCTAGACCAAAAGCTGCTACCTTGATGTAGGGGTTGAGTTTCAGTACTGTAATGAGCCCACAGGCTACACAGGATAGAATTCCGTTACACAAGGTGCAACCATGCAATGAATGCCAACGGAGAGCAGTTAGACCAAGAGCAGCGAGACCCCGCACTACGGGTAATCGTGCTATGAGGCGATTTGGAAGTAAAATCGTACTGTCCTCTGCGATAGAAGTGTGAAGAGTGTGGGGTGTTTCACCGAGGCAACCAGCATGTCCATATTCTTGGAAGTAGCGATGCTGGCTTCCCACGACGAAATATCCATACTGAAACGTGACAAGGCACCAGGATCGGGCGGTCTGTATCCAGCCCTCTTCAAAGAAGGTGGAGAATCCCTGGCGACCCGTTTGACAAAGTTTATTGATGCGATGTGGAACGAAGAGGTGCCTGCAGAATGTGGCATGTCGACAGTTATCCCGATCTTCAAAAATGGTACGCAGACGCTGTGTGAAAACCACCGAGGCATCCGCCTGGTAGCTGTGGCATCGAAGGTCCTCTCTGATCTAGTCCTTTTACGGTTGACTGAACGCAGGGAGAGACAAATCCGCGAAAACCAAGCTGGGATCAGTTATGCAGGAGAATGCATCGATCACATTTCCATCCTCCGAAAGATTTTGGAACAACGACACTGCTTTCTGCAACCACCAATGACTGTGTTCCTTGACTGTTAGCTGCCTTTAGCTCCGTGGACCGTCAGGCACTATGGCAGTGTCATCACTGATACGATTAAGGAACACTCACTATCAACATCTCATGCCTGTAAGGTCGAAGTGCTCCCGGGGTGTCCGCGAACAGATATCGAGTATGCAGACGACAAAGCTATTCTTAGATATGATACCGTGACAATGCAGACAATATTAAATAATAAAAATAATGCAGCTTTTGTGAGCTTGTATCACCTGTGACGTGTGCTTGACATCAGCCTACCCGTCAAGGGTCGAGTGAGATCCATATTACTATATGGGCTAGAAACGCAGCCGCTGCGCGCGGAGGACATCAAAATACTTTTAGTGTTTGACCATCGATGCCTTAGAGCATCGCCCGAGTCTGGTGGGAACCCCACATCAGCAATGCTGAAATACGTCGAATGGTTTTCGAAAGAAATAATCCACCCACGATAGACGAACTGATCACACTCCAAGGGTTACGCTGGCTTGGCCACGTGCTCCGTATACCGGTCGATCGACTTCCTTGAATGGTTCTCTTTGTACAACCACTCGAAGGGTGGAAATGAGCCAGGGGAGGTCAAACAATGACTTAGCAGCGAGGTACGAAAGCGATCATGGTTGCCATTACGCAGTTGCGCTGGTCATTGCCGTCTTCCTGAATGGGGACATCGAGACGGAACACATCAATGCCAGACATGGCCCAATCGCGCCCTCAATGGTGATATTGCATCAAAGCCATTGCCTTCAATGCATAGCTCCCTGATAACGTTCCCAATCAAAATTTCACTAGCAGCCCTGTATTTGCGCACAAATTATATCAGTTACCGCGTCAAATGCGCATCTATCTACCTCACATCCCCAAATAATCGGTAAACAAAACTGTGGCAGCTAGAACCACTGTACGGCAAGTACACGGTTCTTACAGCTGCTGCTGATGATGAGAGGGCAATTAAAACATAAATCATAAGTTGCATAAGTCACACCAGCACCTGGTTAGGCACTGATAGACTGAGTGCTCCGCAAGAATTCCATGAGTATGAGAATGCGTTTGACGTAGATTCGCGATGTGTTCAGGGGACGCATCTGTGTTGATAAGGGAGCCAATAAGAAGTAGGTATGAATCGTGGCGTTTGATAGAATCAATCATGCGCTTCCAGTGTGAAAGCGTGTGAAGTGTATCGATCTAAATCAGATGTTTTACCGATAACCGGAAAGAGCGGCAATTACTCAACATCAAACGCAGTCTCGAAAGGGGCAGTATGAGGTAGCTATGCTCTTTATGTACATCCGTGAATGGAAAGAAACGCATCTAGTCAATATACATTCTATTTCTAAACGACTGGAAAGGACAGCGTTAAACTGTATGTGTGACGTTCGAAGTAGCTGTTTGAGTTGCAGGTTCCAGATCGAGGTGTTGTGGTTCGTATCCTTGCCCGAATTTCCGATTGCTTATGTTTTCGATCGGTTAACTAGGAACTATCTGACCCTCCGAGTTCTCTTCGGGTCACAGGACAGCTGCACAATGACAAGATATCACCGAGACAGAAGTACATACATTAAAGACAACAGAGAAGTAGTGGAGGCCTACTAGATACATTTTTGTAACGCATCTGTAAGCACATCTGTTTGGACATCAGCCTGTTGCGCTTACAAGCAGAAAACAAGTAAATGGATCCAGTTCACCTGGTTTCCTTTGGGCGTGTACACAAGTAAACAGAAAAAAATATGAACTACACTAAAATAATACCAGTAGTCTAGCCGAATTTGCAACACTCGCTCCAATGGAAGACAAGCGTGATAAATGCATGAATGAATGCAAGTAGTATGAAACACAAAAACCACGCGATCTTTATGCAGTTAAACCGCACTTGCGACCCGGTCTACCATGACGGCTACACATGGTTCAGGAACCAATGTGTGAAGAACATTACTAAAAAGTTGCCAGGTAAACACAGACTGAAAAGCTTACCAACAAAACACCAAAGTGTGTTTGTCTGAAAGCCCATTTCAATATTCGTTCAGCACAGAGCTGGATGAAATTCATGACTGTCCAAATAACTATAGAGGAAAAAACAGATGAACACAACGAAACTTCAACACAAAATCATATGAACTACTACTTGATCAAAAAAACGAAATGTGCTTCACTTGAGGAGTTGTTTGCTACACGTGGTGGATTGGAAACGTCAGTGCTACGGTGATTAACCGTCTTGAGCAAATATGGCAAATGAAACTTTCCCGAAGAGGCGGTCAAGATGAATAGCCTATCATCAAGAAGAACAGTAATTATGGGACGTGTTGAGCACAGCTACACAGCTTTAAATCAGCACCAACTGGGAAGCGGAAGAACAATGTACAGTAAGTTTCTTCATAAATATCATATTGCTATATCGCGTGACAGTTCCGTGACCTTATCAGTAAACGTAAAGTACATCATCGATAAGGTATCTAAAAACTAGTCCGGTGAACAATACGCGTTTACCGGATGAGCCACATGACAGTGGCTTGTGGCTTTTCACCCGAATTAAAATCCGACCCTTGATTCAGATCACACAAACACAGTTCGGAACACTTCGGGTAGAATTCGTACTCTACCTACATCATATACGTAACGGTTAAGGATAAACCATCTTGGAGACCAGAACCTGGTAAGTTGAGGCAATAGTCACGCGTAATTTAGTTGCACACACGAATTACGGTTAACCCACTGTAGCAGTCAAAATGGGCACTCTCTAATGAACAGCAGTGTTCAGTCGACCACAAGGCGACACCTCGACGAGAGACGATCACCGCCCCAGACGCCAAGCACCCTCTATTTAAAGGGTTGTTCTTTCTTGACAGGAAGACCAGACGATTCAGCGAAAAGCAAACTGAGACGTCCCCGGATCATAGCCACCTTATGGAAGATTTATAAAGCCCAGACAAGTGGGCAGTTGGTTGGTACATTACCATCCGGAGATCGCGCCCAAACTCCTGAGGTATCCCGGCACAACTTGGAGGCGGCGGCTCAGCTAATGCAGTAGTGCGCCGAGAACCAATAAATCAAGTACCTCTTAGTAAAGGATAGTACCGAAACAAAGGCGAGAAGTTTTGAGTAGTTAGTCAAAGAACCCCTACTTAAATGTAGCGCTAAGTAGCATCAACAAAGAGGCGCTTTTTGAGATGATAAGTTGGCAAGAATAAGTGGGGATTTTGGTAGCTGTACCACGCTCTTGTTCGTACCCTCAAACAAAACGGCATTTATTTCCCTTCTGAATAGTACTGGTCCAATAACATATACTGGATAGGATATGAAAAACAAGTAGCTATTAAGTTTCAACCATAAGGTGAATCTGTGCTTTGATACAGGCAATACCACACCCGAGCGGTACGGGCCTCCAGGACGAGACAGCTCTCGTCAAAATTACTATTTTCTAGTTTCTACATCATTAAAACCCTAACATAGCATCCAAAAAACGGATGAATACCATAGAGCGAAAAGTTCGCCCAAGGTAAAATAACTCATTTGAGACTATTGAGCATCCAATTACTTTTTGACACCATTCGTCGAATGTGATGGGGTGCTTAGCAAACATATTGCCAGTCAAGCTTCGAAACCATGGACGTTATTCCGCTGCTGTACGTAGGGAGTGTAGCCTTTGTCGCGGAAAGCCAGGGTTTCGAGATCAAGCGGTAGTTTTCTGCCAGTAGGTGGAACAAGTCGAGGAATAGGATAAGACTTTGAGTTAGTATAGAATTCCTATTTCTGAAGAATGAAACTACAAAGCAGACCTAGGGATGTGTGATCTAACAGCTGTCAACCACATACAGCTGTAAAGGCTTAGTGTGCATGCTTTTGAATGGAAACTCAGAGGTCAGGGATGAGGCAAGTTTTAGAGAGCTTGGCAAATAAAATCATTGGACGCATTAACGACAAGGGAATCAGTAAACAACAGCAAAAGAATGACTCAGATACCACAGAATTTCGGAGAACTTGCTGGGTTTATCATTGTTGAGCAGCATGGCATGTACAGGCTGTCACTCTAGTGGGTGCCCGAAAGTACAAACATCGACGACCTGAAACTTGAGAGCCGGTGGAATGATCTCAAACGACTGTGACTGAAACTTCCTCACTAGGGTCCTGGGACCGCTATTCACTAGGGGTGCTCTGGTTCACTAGGACAAGAAAGTCAGCAAGACGTGCTATGGAGACCAATTTCGGAATAGAAAGAAGCAAGTCGGGTATTACTGAGTAACACTCCACTTGCCCTGTTGATCAATGGGAGTACTGGAAAAAATAGGAGAGGAAAGCCGTGAAAAATGAGACATGTCCTTTCAGGAAAAAAATTCCAAGAAAACCAAAACACCGGAAATGGATGGTGGAAAAAAGCCATTAAACTGCGCTTTCATCTCCGAAACCTGATTAAAAAACTGTATGCCGAAACGGTTCAATTCAAAGTAGCTTTCGCCCAGAATTACTGAAAAGCCGACCGATAACATTTGGGATTTTTGAGCCACAATGCGAAATGCCAAGGGCTTTGAAGCATTCAGTTTAAATTCCATTGAATCGAATCAGCGGACAATATCCTCGAGCACAACGGGTTTGGACCTTGGTCATATGGCACCACGCACAAGATTTCGCCTACTGCTTTACGAATATACATAAAATCCAAGTCTGAACACACGGGCATTTTTACCACTCTAACAGTCCTGGTGGTTAGCTCAATCCGTCATCCACTTGACAAACCCTAGTACCAAATAATTTAAGCCCACCGGAAAACGCCCGATTACTTGTGAGTGGGCACTGGATCCTGCAGTAGCTGCACATATACCTGTCTCGTTTAAGTAATAAATAATTATAAATCCTCTCTTGACCTAACTACACTGGTTTGCTGTTTGTGTTATGGGCGGAGCGCATTTGTCTGAGTGGTCTCAATTGACACAACTACCAACTGTAGTAATCACACATAAACTTGGCAAGAGTTAACCCAGGTGATGATAACTGAATGGTAAAAAACTACCGTAGAGGATCCTCAATGAGGCTGTCCGTCCAGTCCTAACACAAGGCTGCGAAGCGTAGCCTCTACAATCAGAAGATATTCGGGAGCCACAGATTTTTGCCAGTGGTGCATTCAAAGAATCCCAAAATTCAGTACCCGCTGAAGGTGCTCAAGCGTTGTTATGACCTATTAGGCCTAGGTGACGTGTTCCCACATTAGTCTGCGCATCCATTAATCAAGGAAGGCTATGAAATTCTCAAAGTTTTTTTCACCAAACCATTTCGAGGGTGACCTTGTCGCTTCGGAGGATAACTAAAGAGGTGGCTTACTATGAAATGGAGTAATTTGAACTTTGTGCGGCCTGCGGCTCTTGTAACTAGAACAGGCAGTGGGGAGCGATTGGTTCCCATCGTCGATCGTTGGTAACGGCCGTCAGAAACATCTCTGAAGCCAACTCACTCTAAGTCGGAAGATCATCGTCTCGAAATAGTACCCCTGCCCCCAGATAAAAATCCATCAAGTTCAGAGTCAACACAATAAAAAATTAATCCAACGTTGTGATGTACTCCATGTTGGACCTATGGGATTAGTGCTAAAAAACTGAAACACCCGAAAGCAATTTTAATCGAAAAAAGCACAGACTTACCATTCGCATAAGAAAAAGAATGAAAGACGAGGACGAACACGAAAGGTACAACAAGCGCCGATGTGTGGAAGACCACGCGGAGTAACCCCTGATGCGTCTGGATTCCAGGGAGCAATGGATGATAAACGTGGCTATAATAAACAGAATTATGCGGTGTGGTATGTAGTATTCGATCTATTCAAAGAAGACAAAAGAATTAGCTAAAACAGTCCCTGGGTGGTACGGAAACAAAACGAGGGGATTTTCTGAGCAAAAACTGATAGAAAGCAAAGCCGTCCTAGGCGAGGATAGACTGTGTCAAATTGTGCGGGGACAACTATAGCGTAGTTTGATTAAGTTTCTGAATGTTCTAACGAGAAGCAGATGACAACAAACCTGTCTCTAAGGCAGAGAATGTCGTCGAAGTACGTGCAACGAGTAAGGACTATGCCGATAGTGGTTCTCAGTAAGGCGTCCTTTGGCTTGCGTATGAACACTCCTGCAGATAGAATTTCCACCCGTGACATGATTGGCACTATGCTCCTACGTGAATAACTAACGTAAGATGGAACTCAGGTATTTCAAGTGCACATGAGTTATCCTATACAGAGATTGCAGCGTCCTTTAATGAGCCAAGCACATATTAGCCGAGAGAGCCGAATGACTTTGAGAGGGACACGTTGATCAGGAAGGAAGTCAGTCCTGATGAGAAAGTCGTATGATTGACGAAAACGGTATACTTGATGGAGTGCCTCGTACACCGTACCTGATAAGTGAATTCTGATCGGTTCAACAAAACTACTTAACTACACAGATCTAAGATCGACCTAAAACGAATTCCATTTTTGTTGAAGCCATCTTCTTTTTGGGGCAGACTCGCGCTAAAAGCGTCCTGCACCTGTCACTCTAGTCCAGATAGTCGAAACCATCAGATTAATGCCTTTGCTATCACATACGACATTTCAGGCCATCATCTCAGAGAGCTGCCAGCTGTGGAATCGGTTCCCATCAGGCATTGCGGCCATAGGAACCAAGTTATAGCGCAAAAGACTGTAGGAATCAGCAACTGGAATAAGCACAGTCAAATAACCCCTTCAGGTAACACGCTAATTTGTAGAAACTGTACAACGGGCCCCAAGTTTAATGCCATTAGACTTAGATTGACTATTCGTCGTCGTCAATTGATTGGAGACGAAACGTTTGCACGCCAACTTCAGCGAACACAGCAACAACTAATGTTTAGACCGACTGGACTAATTTCTATCACATGGAATCACTCAACCGTCAATCACGAAACGACGTCCCCGATAGATTGATCAAATGGAAGGATAATTACGGCACGACAGTGCTACAAAGAAAATCAGCTTCAGAAGGGGCAAAGTCCCAGTCTGGAAAATAAGCGGAATAACGACAATAACTAACCTACAAGAGTTTAATGAGTACATGTAACCCCGCCTACCATAAATTAGCTTCTGTTCCACCCTGTGAATAGTCAACTTGCTGCCACATTCTCAACTGGATTGAGAATCTGTGGGGCATACTAATAAACCAAGTGAACAACTATGCAGAAGTCAATGGCTATAAAACTAAGTAAGCACCTGCTTTGGGAGAGAAATGAAGGAAGTCCAGACGAAATACCGTCTACGTTAACATTGAAAGCAAGGTGAAGAGTATAAAAGCGAAGTGGCTAGAAAAGAATCACTGAGACAGTGCACCTGAGCGGTCTCATAAATGTTCCTCTTCCAGTGATTTTCTCGTTATTTTTCTGTAAAAATTTTGGGCACCGTCGGAAATCCAAAAGACGAAAAGTCGCTCCAGGAGATTCATTATTACTTAGGTTAAGGTGAAAAAGATGGGCTGCTCTACAGTGCCCTGCAGAAGTTATAGTGTAGAGTGTACAGAGTAGAGTGTAATTTGAAGTCTAATCAGGAAAACCGTTTCAATCCAATCAAGATAAAAACACTCAAAACCAGTAAACAGTTGCAGTGGTGCTGGAGTGAACAAACAGCCTGATCAGTCCGTGGGCGGCATCAGAAGCGCCCAGTTGGGGGATCACCTAACTCGGAGATAGTTCTATTGATAAAAAACCTTTCTTCCAACCATAAATTTGAGAAAGTTAACCGCTTTTGTACTGAATATAAAATTTCACCAAAGAATATATTGTACACAACTTGTGGTACGACATCATGGTAAATGCTCTACAACCTATTGGTCTCTCGCTATGGAAACGTGAACGGCACTATTTCTTGGAATTCTCGCCTATAAAACAATCCAGAATCACTTCTAAAAGACAGATAAGCAATCCATCACATATCGAAAAGAGAGCATTTTCCCGAGAATTTTTGTATGGCACACTACTGGATTCTCATAACTACTGCTCTGAAAACTCATTTATCACAATCTTGTAAGTATGCTATCCCGTTTCAGTGAGCCACCATACCTCCTTTTGCTTGACGCAAGACGATCCATCAGTTCGACATAACCAAGATGACTAGGTGAATCAATACCGTTTGAGAGGCTCCATCCACTCGCTGGATCGTCATGAACGTACAACGACGAACACAAATGTCTCCGATCAACCGAAAGACGGGATTGCAGAAACATTATTGTAGATCATTCGGTGTGTAAGTTACACCTTAGTTGTGCTTAACATAAGCTAGGATGAACAGCTCTCATTAACCGATCGTCTGCCGGATACCAGTAGATCCGAGTAGGCGGTGGAAGCTGCCGAACAACTGTTCCGCGCGCTTTGACGATTCGCCGAAACCCAGTTACTTGGGAATGAAATCAGTCATTTTCGAAGTTGACTAAGACTTACCGGAGCAGGAAATTGTACAAGCCTCGATCAAATGACCTGAAGTTAACAGAATATAGATGAATATGTAAATCGTAGTCAGCAGGTAGGTTCTGGTGACCAGGTAAGTAAAACAAGAAGGCTCGATCTGCCATTCGTTCGATCGGACTGTGGTGATGGGGTACTACGAGAGTAAATAATGAAAATTTTGCCCATCGGAACGAGCGCCTAAGAGGAAGTGGTAATTCGCAATCGGATCAATACCACAAAGCAGCCGACCCATTACATTATTTTTCCTCAAATTTTGAGGACTTTAGGTCACTGGAATCGCAAGCGAGCGGGTATTAATTCGATGTAGATCGAAATGCTTTGAACCAGAAATTCCTTCCTTTGTGTGAATTCTATCGTCATGAATGGAACAGTTCCAATGCAAAGATTCTCAAGCAAATAACAGAAATCAGTAGCCTCATCTCCCTTTCAATGGCTACATCCCTTTCAGTGGAGGCTAAATCTAGCGGTTTCTTCAACTGATCTTTCCTCACAGGAAGATATAGTTCGTGAAATACACTCTAACAAATTTGTTTTCGCGGGAGACTCACCTAGAAGCATCATAAAAGAGAGATTCAGCTGGGATCCAGGTGAGTCTCCCGCAAAACCAAATTGCACGAAATTTCGTGCAATTTGGTTTCAACTTAGAACAAAGGTCGACGGAAACTCCGGGACTGTGCCTGCCTAATGAGCCCCAAGAAGAGCGAAACCGGTAGCGGTCTGTCGAAAAATTTTCGGCAACCTTATGAGTAGTGTATTAGAAACTAATTTAAGACCGCAGTCAGTGCTGACAGTATCAATTCAATCTCAGTGCTGGTTAGCCTTCACACAGTTTGAAACACACAGACCAAGCAGAAACAGATGTTACGAACATTAAACTGTTACCTGTAACCAGTGAATTAAGTACTTGGTCAGCTTTGATTGAGGTTCAGTATAAAACGCAGTACCAGAACAGGGGACACCGTCCGTAGGTTTAGGAGATTCCTGATTAATTGACTTCGTAGCAGGTGCTTTGAGTCAAACTTAGCTTACATTTTCAGGTGGCCAGGTGGATGAGAAATCTTGACACACATAAATGTAATTCGAAAGTACTTCCCACTTGCTTTGTTGTGCAAAAAGCGCAGTAAGTTGGTTGCGTAAGTCCGTGAAGGAGAGGGAGGCACTGCGGGTATTTTGTCCGCATACATGTGGGAATGTACAATGGTAGTGCGCAACGCTAGGGCCACATGACTAGGTTCAGTATGACCAATGGGCTTACGTCAACCAGAGTTGTGCAAACCAAGTTGAGACCAAACTTGGTATCATATGTTGACCGAACTCCCTCGTTCGGTAAGTCGAGGATAACGGTAGTAAGTGTGTTCGAGAATTATTCTACCAGAGCATAAGATTTTTCTTGCGCTAATTTGGGCAAGTTCATCAGCCGGTATGAAATCATCAGTGTACTATGTGTGGCGGGGTGTTGTTCTATCCAAGGTTTGACCATCCAGACTGACCTCGACTTATCACTGGTAGCTATGGCGAGAATTCACATGAGCTTGCTGATCATTATTGTCGATATATATATATATATATATATATATGTATCATTATTGTCGATCTATATATACCGAAATTTTGCCGCTTTCTTGAGATATTGGAATGTGACTTTTTAAAAAGTTCACCGGGTGATCGCTGTAGTCGTCTAGTACACGGTACGTATCTTCTTTCACATACACATGATTGATGGGTCTCGTTCTTAAACCACCCCTATTTCAGGTTCAAACGCAAAATTGATGCCTTGAAACGCAGTGTTGAGAAGTTTGTGTCTTGCTCCGCATTCCGTCTCATAACAAGAAAAGCGTTGCCTACATGCCCTATCCAGAGTCCGGGAGTAGAGGATTGGTGGCACGTGTTCCGGCTTCTACATGACTCCCTTGGAGATCAGATTAGGGTTCCTCTCGGTTGGTGACAAATGTCATTCATATGTGATGTGTCTATACATAAGCCTGCATAAATTTTACGGTTTCACTGTGTATAGGTTATGAAGCTTTTCAGCATTACTTATTATGTCCTGACCTTGAAATAAGCGGCTTTATTAACATTTTGCCAAGCTGCGTGAAAAAGGGCAACAAAAGGAGCTCATTTTTGTCAGTGAGTAGAATCTGATATCATCAGTTTTCACCATCCATCGCCTTTGACTACTTAACTTATCCGTTACTTATATCTAGGTGTTGCAGTGATTCGACCAACTAAACTCAAAGTAGCGTCATGACCATTTTATCGACAGAAGCGTTGATACAGTCCGCTTTGCCCGGAACCAGCATTCATTCTTTACCTGCTTTACAGTCGATCCCACCTTCTGCAGATTACCGAGTTTGACTAGTCCTTGTTCAGCAAAACGTATCCAAGTACGAACAGTTGCATCGATTGTGGCTAAAATGTGATCACGGATTCAAGTAAACAGACAGCCAACTACAAGGTGCGGTCTAGTCGGGGTCTCGTCGGGTATATGAGGTTATCGAACCATGAACCAATCACTTCCCAGAATAAGTAACACCTTGACCGGTAGACCAAACACCGAATCGTAAGTGCATAGACTACCAACTCGAAGTCATTCGTGTAGATCATATCGGTATTGTTGAAAATGACATGCAGCAAACAGGCTTCTACGTGAACCCACTGTGAACATATTCAACAAGATATTTTTTAGTTTTCGAAGCACAGTATCACTACTGTAACACTATCACAACAGTGATCAAGATATGAGCTAGCTTCTGACTATGCTTCGACAAGAGGCGACATAGAGAAATTGAAAGTCTTTCCTGAACCGCTGCCATTACCAGGGAAACAACCATATCACTCATACTGTGCTATTTCAGATAATTCCTTTTCCAGAGAAGCTTTTGAGTATATAGAAATATACAATAAATGCAGCATAACTTGCCTCCACATTTCGGAATACAATGCAACATGGGCGACACACGATGGAGGGGCAGGTATCAGGCAGATTCGGGCTTGAGACAATGATATCGAGTCCGTTGAATCCTGTTTCCCCGAGTTAGAAGAATGGTGTTCAGAACAAGAATGAGAAGAAGCACATTCTGAAGGCACAATGTTCCGTCTGTTCGATGAGAGGAACAGTTCCAGATCGGATAATAAACCAGGAATCCCATAAAATAATAAATGTAACATGTAGAAATGTATACCGGCCATGTGAGCAGCCATGACAATAGCCACAGGTTTTGCACTGAAACCAGCAGTTTCCCAAGGATTGAAACCCGAAAGGCGACCTCTTGAGGGTTGAAAGTATGCATACATGAACAGTGCATTTGGATAAAGGAAGCAAAGTACAAAGTACCAGAAGTGGTACCAGAAGATAAGACGAATTGCACGACCGAGGAGTGAACAGACGGTGAGCGGACGGATGCGGCCAGTTAGCTTCGCAAAACGGATGCAACTAGGCTGGAAGCAAGATGTATGAAAACAGTATAACATACAGCGATTTAAGATCTAAAAAATGAGATGTCTGACTAATAAGGAACATCGAAAAATATGCCAACAATTCAAATGGTTCTTAGGTTATATTATGAACGTATGAGGAAAAAAATTGGCGTGTGCCACTGTTACGCACTCAGCACCTCCGGATGCCCAAATCGGAGGACAAACGGACTGTGCACGCACTAGACCTGCTAATACAACATGTATGACACAGTCAGGAAACATGCGACAGATACACTTCCTGCTCCGAATCACTAAGTAACTACTGTTGTAGGTGTCAAAGGGTCTCTACAGAACACGATCAGAACAACACATCAAAAGACGGCGGAGATTTTTTCTATGTCCCAACCAAAGCCAAAAATAGTCTTCCCTTGGCTAGAACAATTCCCCTCGAAGGGATCAAGTGTCTAGTGAGGGGCTATTGCTCGATAAGGGAAGCGGACTTCCGTACACTCACTCGGGTTTTTTTCGGTCACAGTGAACTACACACTAGCATATTATCCTCAAAAAAACTACAGCTATTCCTCCCTTGAAACCACAAAAACCTACACATGTGCTCGTTGCAAAAAAGAGGGTTCCGTACATCCTCTGCGATGATCACTTGCGCAACATCGCCTGTGAAGCGCGCCTTGAACACCTTGCATAACGACCCAAAATACCCAGAAACGACTTTTAAACGGTATTTCTGGCGTTTAAGACCGTTAGAATAACCAACGGGTTCCTAATGGGAGACAGGAAAACAACGTACATTTTACCAACTGTGGCAATAGGCCGGAAGGCTAAAAAGCTCACAAACCAAACTCACCGATGCAGCGACAGTCGCACGTCTTTCAAGACGCACACCAGTAGGCAAAAAATGCACTTTGTATCAATTAAAGTAAAACCGCAGGGTCGAACTCTAGCCATAAATGCGGTCTAAAGAGTCACATTCGGAAGCATACATTTCATGCGCTGCAAAAAACTCACATATGTATTTTACTGGATTTATGAGGGCCACACACGTACCATCTGCTAGTGGTGTGAGGTTTTAACACCTTTGAGAGCGAGCAACACACCACAAGCGAAGAGTACACTTTCTGCTAGCTGAAGCAAAGTTTACAATCAGCTCCTACACCCAGCCAAACAGCACCTCGACAGTGGGACATAGCCCTTAATGCGTCATAAAAAATGAAATCATCTTCCCCCAGAGAGCATGTCACATCTAGTCCACCTATTCGACCAACCAGCAAACTGGAAGGTTTTCACTCGTCAAAATGAGTAGAACCCTTCTGACTAAGCTGCGTTGACTGAATTTAAGACTGAAAGCAAAACAGTCGAGTTCGCCTAGTTGATCCCTTTCCTCACGGCTCCGTGAACTCTCCGGTCCAAGTAGCACTTTTCCACAACTGCTCTATCGGTCATTTAGTTCTTTCACGGACAGTGGCAGATGTGACATCGTGTCCCCAAATTAATTTCGATCGAAAGGTGTGACTTTAAACGAAAACCAAATGACATTCAACAGTGACGATGAGCGTGCCTTATTGAGCAGTTTGGTTGCGTTATGAAAGACTCTTCAGATATTGAGGTGTTCCATGTAGAAATATTTTTTCCCAGAGGGACACTGTGTGCTGGGGTTTGCTTGCCGAAGGTAGCTACTGTACAAAGGTAAATTTCAGATATGAGTTCGTGTGATCTGCAAGCTTTTTGCTACATGTTCTAGGCCGCAGCTGGTTTGATGCTGAATGCGTCATCCAAACCAACAAATAAAAGAAACTTAGGATACATGTAGTAGAAAAACATACATTTGTTTTACCGTCCTGGAAATCCAACCAGTCCTGGAACGGAACGATCGGACCAAAAAAGAACGAGTACGGATAAAAGGCATACTCCAACACGGTCCATAGTGTTTTCCATAAACGAAATGGTGTTATTCTAACGTGCTCCAGAGTTCCGTCTGAAATTCTGTGGGATTCCTCTGCCAAGCACAACGCAACACTCAGTGAGCGCAGCAGTATAAGAAAGTGAGCAGAGTATACCAAAGCCCCCACAGCATGGCTCTCCGGGACGAAGCGCGTGAGAAGTTGCTAGTTAGGAGGAATGGATCATGGAGTTAGAAAAAGCAGCGACCGATAGGTACCACAGAATGATCAAATGAATGGTAACGCAAGAGTTGTTACGGATATTGCAAAAACTGATGACTGATCAAGTCAGAGTGACTCGACTGAGATACAAAGGAATGTTTGGAAATCGGCTTCTAAAATGTAGCACCAATGGCTTTGGAATTGAGAAGTACGCTGAAACATCTCTATATAGACAGCTGACAGGACCTATTTGGGACCCAGAGGTTGTTGTAGAGGGCACGCTACATGCTGTTTAGGTTCTTTCCTTTAATTTGAGGACGGTAACAGGTGAACTGTTTAAGGGGCGCCAAATATACCATGCAGATCATTAACAGAAGGTTGATAGATTCTTCGCTAAGACCAGCCACAAGAATTCGGCGGGAACACAAAACAACGGTCGTTTTAAAGGGTTGGCCACTGAGTAGGGCTATGCGTCGGGTTTCATTGCATCGCTATGGGGATGTAGATGTAGACGGAGTGATGGTTACAACCAGACTTCAGTAATATCATTTGCACAACCTTTTATTGGTCAGTTCGCCACCAGTTTGTCCGTCGGACCCCATACTGACGAAAATATCGTTAATGTGGTTGTTCACGCTAACAATAAATGCCAGCACCAATTTCAACGAGATACAAACCTCCGCACCCAGTCACATTCTGTGAAATGCGGTGTTGATTTTGGCGAGGAAATGCATCCTACTATGAATTAATATTCCTATGGAAACCAAAAACCTATTGCTGGTTTACAGACGAATTACCTACCAACGCAGCCACTTTGGTAAATGGCTTTGTACTTCACAAATCAGCTTCCCAGAGGGATATATCTATCGTTCACCCACTTAATCAACACTAGCTTCTGGAACAGTGGGGGAATTCCAAAGCCGTTTTCTTATGATCGTTCGCCAACAGATAGATGGGTGCAAACATGAATGACCTGATAGAATAAGTTTTTGTTTTTGTTTGGGTTGCCTAAGAGGTAATCGCAGAAGGGGCACCAGAGACGAATGGGCTGAATTTTTTAGCGGTAGTGGATAATCCGTACAACAATCTGACTATTTACGACAATCGCATAGATGGCACCCTTAGAAAGTCCTCCACCTAAATTTCGAGGAAAAGAGGAGGTAGCATGAGCAATCTACGACAGCCGGATATTATATTGTTGTGATGCAGTTCGTCCTATAAAATAAATTTATGTGGAGTTGCAAATTAACACTAACTAGAAGCTGTTGTCTTCATCATCACTATCAACCATAAGCATCGCGTACTTATCGTAGTGGTTACAGATGCCACCGTTTCGTTTACCGACGCTGAAAAGCTCAGACACGAAAGCAGTTCCATCCCTGTTGAGACTCAACAAATACACTAAAAGGGATCTGATACTTGATATTTCAGTTAGCAGCAACCATTCGGACCGCGTATCCGTCAATTCGTTTCCGCATCGGACAAAGTCCTACGCTCATTGTTTGCTAGCCAAGTGATGACAGAAATGATAAATGATCATGTGAACAAAACATGCTCATTACTAGCCACTAGACAGAAGTTCGTCTGAGTAAACCAATGGTCGTAGGTGATGGTGCCTTAACTGATTTTTTTAAACAGGATATCGTTTTAGGAAGTCCTTGTTTCGCCACAAGATTGGAGCGAAGGCGGCTGATGGAAAATCAAACTAAAAAGTTCCGTAGATGAAAACGGCAAACCTAAGGGACTTGTAATCGGCATGTGAGACTGATGTAACCCGCTAATAAACGGACAGTTAGTCTACTAGTCCCTCGAGAACAGATTTGGCTCGAAGAAGCGAAACTATAGCCAGCAAGACGTCCTGTCAGCTTCCCACGTCCTTCTGACGCGCTAAAAGACGAACGTTTTCCACCGACTTTTCTCCGATCAGTAAAACAGCTAATTCAAAGGGGACACAACATAGACTGCTTTGACCTAGATAACAATTCTGCTAGGTAGTCGAGGCTAAAATAGCCTTTTGAATTCCACTTAATACTATTGGGCACAAAAACGTTTGCCGAAGTTTGTTCGTCAAAGAAACCAACTTGTTTTAAACAATCTTGCATTGGCCAAGTCTTTTGGAGCTGAATACCTGACACATCTGTAGACATAAAATAAACTTCCAGTAAATCAGGGACAGTGGAATGTTAACTTTGTATCCTCAATCAAGTGGTTGAAAGCCGTCACGAAAATCCCTGTTTATCACATTTCACATAACATTGTTCTTCACAATCCGCTCTAATTCCGAATCTGCAACTAAAAATTCATACTCAGGGTATGAAAGGGTCCAGCATGCCTTGAAGTGAAACGCTAAAATCCACCAGAAAACCAAGTGAGCCCCTTCCATTGAGAGAACTGGTCTGGATGATACGGAAATAACCCGTCCCAATAGCACTGGCTAGGCAGTAGTGCCAACCGATGCGAAAGCACAGGCCAGGTAGATGAGCATAAAACATTTTAAAAATCGTTTATAACAACACACCAAGAAAAAAACGGAGATTAAAATAAGGCGATTCTCACTCGGTAATACCGTGAATCCGTTAGGTAGTCAAACGCTAGAAATAGAACAGGAGTAAAGATCCAAATGATGAATCGTTTCCCACGAAATGAAATGCCCAGGATTGCGAACAAAACAGTTAGCACCAACGCATCCACGACCAGAAGTATGCCAACAAAGTGAAGTACCAGCAGGTTGGATGCCACCGTTCGAAGAATGCACTTTATCTAGAATATCGTCAATCAGCGTTCAAATAGAAGTGTACCAAAGGGTGTTTCTTTAGAATAAATTCCAAAGAGCAGGAATAGACGAGATAAAGTGCATAGAATGGAATGTAAGTGCCCCATTGGATGAGCGAATCCCAGTCCGAGTCGCTTTCATCCTTCAAAAGAGCCGTAGGAAATGAAGTAAACAACCTGCCAGTGGCAGCGCGCAAAAATCCGTAGCTTTGAAGACGCAAGCGGTTTTCTAAACCAGTTAATAGCTGGGAGCTGATGGCTCACTTGGGTTACTGGAAGCACGATGAAGCTGGACAAGCAGAAAGGCTTCCAGCGTGAAAAATATAGCAATACCAAATACACGTTCTAAGCTCTTCATGGATAAAATTTTAAATCAAATGGCTGTCCGAAAATATTCTGCTGAACAATGAGTACCGGAGAACATAGGCTTTTGACCATTGAAGCTCAAACTTTTCTCTTAATCTGCAGCAATATGGCCACGAAAGACCAAACTATTGCGACCACCACGCTGGGAAGCAGCTCCCCTGAAAATAAAAAAACTAGATTAGGAACAGTGGATATGTGCTTGAATGCATCAATAACGTGCTACTCGTTCTGGTAGGCATTTTTGCAACAAATAGACTCCAAACTAGTTGGGAGATATCCCGGGGCGAGATGACTCAAGTGGTTAGGGCGCGAATTTACTGACCGAAAGGTCTGTAGTTCGAACCAGACCTCTGCCTCTCGACTTCCCCTGTCTAGGCTTGGGCAACCTGGCAGTATTCCAGCCCTCGTGCTTCCTTCGGGTAGCATGGCAGCTAGGCACCGGAAGGGTGATACGATTATTATTATTTATCGTCAAGGCCGAAAAAACAAACGTTTTTTCACTTCAATTTTCGGTCCGAGTTCCTAAACACACCTCTAGGATTTCGAGAGGTCCAGTCGAGGCACCCGTGAAGGGGCTTACTCACTATTCAACTACACATTTAAAGGCATTTCGGGGAGTTACAAGTTTCGTGAACTCTGATGGTGACATGGTTGGTTCTAAAAAATAAAGCATTAAATGTGAACATGGACTTCCAGAATTGAGGAAGGCACATACCGGGACAGGTTATGTAGCATTCCAACGAACCAGAAACATGATAAGAGTGAAGCGAAGCCTGGACGGGTGTATGCTCACAAACATAACGGGAATGTGAGACTGACGACGAACACTGGCGGTGTTCGTATAAGTAACATGGTGGACATAAGAGATTTGCGTATGACAGGGACCAGTCAGACTCCAGAATCTTCGTCTCGTAGTAATCCAGATTAGTGCACTGACTTCATTATTCACATTACAACTAGAACTAATACAACTTTCGAAATATGTGAAAGACTCCACAACTTCCAGTACTTCCCTCCCTGGATTATAAGTGGCATGTTCGGTGAACATATGTCCAGGAGCATCGCCTTACACTTTGTGGATGCAACGCGCAGGCCGAAGGACAGGATGATCTTGGTAAGCTTACCAAAAACAGTTGCATCTTCTTTCCTTATTTAAAGACGAAGACGATGTCATATTCGTATTCATATGCATATTCCTGATCAACAAGGTTTCCATCAACGACTATTTGAACACCGAGGGTTTGAGGACCTTCCCGCGTTCATCTCATTATCTCGTCGACCACGAAAGTAAATAGAAATAGAGAGTGGGCAGCCCTGACGGACATCACCTTGAACAAGGAAGGTTTTTGGACAGATCTCCGTATATTCCCACACGTCCAAAAGCCTGAGAATATAAAGAACTTAATATATCCACAAACTTTCGGGATATTCCTTGATGAGCGATGAACGAAGGACAAGCAACGTCAGAAGTCTCTTTAAGACGAGTCAAGGTGCAGTGTCTTTTAAAATTGATGAGTCGAGTCCCGATGTCCCATCCAGAAACGAAGTTGTCATCTTGACTGAGTTTGCTGTCGTTGGATTCACACTTCGTTTGTAGGCCATAGACTGGCCAGCTGTCAGCCAGTACCATCCGGTATAAGGCTGGACTGAAAGATCCCTGCGAAATGGACGCCCTCCAACATCATCATTAGTATTATCAGCTCTAAGAACCTCGTACTTGTCGTACGGTGGTTGTAGCTGCCACAGTTTCGTCCACCGGTGAGAAGCTCACCCATCGCTGAAGCGAGATGACCCAAGTGGTTAGAGCGCGATTTTACTGACCGGAAGGTCCGACGTTCGAATCCGACCTCCACCACTCGACTTCCCCTGTCTAGGCTTGGGCAACCTGGCAGTATCCCAGCCCTCATGCTTCCTTCGGGTGGCATGGTAGCTAGGCACCGGAAGGGTGCTACAGCTGAACGCTTTTCGGTTGTTAGTATGTCACAATCCGCGGGCAGTTTTGCCCTATCCTCTATAGAGCCAACAAGTTTTATCAGGAGGTAACCACCAGTCTTCTTGAAGGAAGCCTGGATACAAGCCGTCCAGCCCTGGGACATTTCAGGCAGAGGATGTGAGACATCTTCAGGTCCTTGACCTCCAACGTCCCAGAACTACATATGGAATCAGCTGAAATCAGCGAATTTGGAATGAAGGGATGGGCAAATGGAATTCTGGTGAGACAGACGGCACTTCACCCATAGAATGCATCCAGTACTTCAAGCCAAGGTGGCTGGGCCATGTGTTACGCATACCGAGTCACCACCTTCCGTGCCTAACCTAGAGGTGCACAGAACTCGACATGGCGGAAGAAAGTGAGGGATGTCACGAGCCTTGGTTGCTGTTCACCTTACAGAATGGCGAGCATGTGAACCAACCCCTCCACCTTTAATTGGTTGGAGACGCTGAATGACGTGTCGGTTAATCGACGTCAGTGGTGCTAAGGCTGTCCGTTTATAACCAGGATGTTTCACTGAGCGTTGGAGGTGTAGGTACCTCGGATGTTTGTGATAGACTAACTCTAGAGTTAGCTCCCTGTCAAACCACTCTGTTCCATTATGAGACTTTATTCACATAAACTGACATGGTTGTGCGAAGGCAAAGCATCAGTGTTCCCATCGCGACTGTCGTATATGAAGGTGAGGATCCACTCACACATGCGGCCTCGCATACAATGCACAGGGGACAAAATATCAAAGAAGTACCTTTGAACACCAGGCAATATACGTCTGTAACGATCTGCAGCCGTCATTCTGTGAATTACAATCCACTGAGCTATACTGAAAAGTACGTGTGGCACTCATAGAACCTCTTATGACAGGTTAGTCAAAGAGATTGGTCACAAAGGGACTGGCCCTTACCGTGGTGTGACGGTATGTGAACCTTCCTGATCCTTTGAGCTATACTGAGTAGTGCCCGCGCGACAACCACTCTCTCGCACCAGGTTGGTCAATGGTTAGAGGTCCGACGAACAGTCTCCCGGTTAGGGGTTGGAACATGTGTGGTGACTTTTTCATTAAAAATGCTCTGACAAACTTACGCCATCCACAAATGTCTTGCGGTTATACTTTTTAGCCAAAGGCTTTGGTCGAGAATCCTAATCGTCCACCCCTCTAAGTGAGGGAACCCTCGAAGTATCCCAGCATATGTACAAGCACGATACATACAACTAACAGTAAGTTCATGCTACGTTGGCCGTCGCGTGGCATCATCAGTCGATTCGCCTTACTTGCTGCATACAGCAGGACGGGTAAGCGGAAACATGATACTGCTGATGCCTCCCCTTATACCCTCACGTTTCCCTTCTTTTACCCTACCCCACCCAAATTGGAATACTCTCTTCGGAGTTCACAGCAATAGGACCGACCGTTTTTCTGACCGTTGCAGCTTCCGTACGTCCGACTTCAGTAACAACCCTGAACGATTCCAAACTCCGAAAGCCTGCCTAGTTAGCTAGCTTTAATGTTCGCACACTGAAGCAGGCTGGATAACATGTGGTTCTTGCTCGTATGTTGGATTTATTCTGAATTGATGTATGTTACCCGTCGCAAGTATTATAACTGAACTAACTGCCCCTTCCGTTGCAGCGTACGTCCGACTTCAGTAACAACCCTGAACGATTCCAAACTCCGAAAGCCTGCCTAGTTAGCTAGCTTTAATGTTCGCACACTGAAGCAGGCTGGATAACATGTGGTTCTTGCTCGTATGTTGGATTTATTCTGAATTGATGTATGTTACCCGTCGCAAGTATTATAACTGAACTAACTGCCCCTTGCTCTCTTTCGGGCTCCGGCCACGCGAATCTGGTGATGCAGAGACCGCTTCAGTCAGATATGCCGAGGTGGATATGGTACTGAGCGACCGAGCGAAGGCGTCTCTACTTGAGTGGATACCGGTTGATAGTCCCCTTTGCGCGGCTCGTTTGGTATCTGGAGAAAGTGAGGTCCATCGCCCCAACTAATTGTATCCCTGAATTTGCCAAAGAAGGTTTCTATGACAATCTAGGTGCTCTTTTACAACGGGTTAAAAGCTCAGACATCGTTGTGGTTGTTGATGGCATGAACGCCTATGTACTCGGACTAAGCGCTGCTGAGAACCGATTACATCGTCGTCTTGGGCTGCAAACGAGAAGTATGGACATCGAAAATCGTTTACTTCATATGTTCGCCGATCACGGACTGTCCTTTTACAGTATCAGTTTCCGGGGCAGCGAAAATCGCTTAACATGGTGCCAACCAACGAACCAGTTCCAAATCCAAACAGATCACATCGCCATCAGTTAAAATTGGATCTCTGACAGGACCGCGGCCTTGATGCAGGCCCGGCGACCGACCGCAGCCACAACCTAACCCGACGTATCATTCAACGTCAGGTAAAACTGAGCATTCGTGCAGACCGCGAGGCTTCGTCACCACGAAAGGCCCAAGAAATGGAAGAGGTAAAAATGCCATTCCATTTATTTCGTTCGCCTGGTCCTCGGAAGCCTCTTGTTAACGAAGTTATCAGAGACAATAATGGCTTGCTGATATCCAGCAAAAGAAAAAGGACGTTTGAAGTGGGCACAATACTTCGAGCAACAATCTAGTTGGCCACCTGCAGCATTCAGTGCGCATTGCTGGCCTTCAACAAAAGGTGTGGCTGCCTTTTGGATGGCGTCGGCGTGTTAGTAACGGGATGATTAGAAAGCGGGTACTTGGTTGTCTGGCAGATACTTCAATCCGGGAAAATATCCAACACCACCGACTACGATGACTCGATCATGTACTACGCACGCCGAAGCACCGTCTACCGAGAAGTGTTGTTCTCTGTGCCTCCCTCAGAATAGCAAAAATCACGAGGTGAACAACGTATGACTAAGCAGAATGGTGTGAAAGATATTACGAAGCTTTTGGGTGTTGCAGGTGCGTTAGGCCTTGCAGGATGGGGTCCCCATGAACCTGCTTGCGCTAGGCTGGAGACATTGAGGAAATGGCGGGTGATCAATGTCACTGACGTTCGTGTTGTCAGTTCCATTTCAGATTGCCTGACTGAACACTTGGAGGTGTAGGCGCCTCAGAATACTTGTGATAAAAAAGCGTTCAGCTGTAGCACCCTTTCGGTTCCTACCTAAGAGCCACCAGAAGGAAGCACGAGGACTGGGATACTGCCACGTTACCCAAGCCCAGACAGGAGAAGTCGAGAAGCAGAGGTCGGGTTCAAAACACGGACCTTATTTGCTGCATACAACACATCGGGTGAGCGAGAAAGAGGAGTGGCTCGGGGGCGAGATGACTCAGTGGCGCAAACTTACTGAATGGAGGGTTCGCACAGACATAATGTCTGACCTGCATGTCATCTCGTTATTCAAAAAGCCTTCCTACAAAATGTGGTGTCAGACAAGGATGTCCACT